CTTTCCAAAGAGTACACTGAGAGAAAAAGTGCTACATTCAAGTAAATATTTGCTAAATAATACTGGAGTAATTATTTTACCTGCATTCAAGTCAATATTACTTGAATGTAGCACTTTTATCTTCCAGTGTGCGTTTCGCGTATATCATTTTTATTATTAGTGCCTCAATTGTTCACCTCAATCAGGCAGAAGAAACGACGCTCGCTCTCACGCTGTCGCGCACGCTGACGTAAGAAACTATTAATCACGAGCGCGCGAATAAACGCGACCGCTTCAGCGACGCTGTCCGCGAAAGCTCGCGATACCCATAATTAATGATCGATTATTCCGATTGACCGTCGCGGCCGACGGTGCTGCTGCTGCGTCCAAACAGAAACGAAGAGGCGCGTCTCATTAATCGCGCTCTCCGCTCTGTGCAACGAGCTTAAGGCGGATTTCGCTGCGCGGCATTAATACGCGAGCACCTTACGTGGGACGCGCAAACACGCTCGGCACAAAATCGATTCAGGAATGTCGACATTCGATTTGCTTTTTATCGCCGATCGACGGCGCTCTCTCGCCCGTTGCCCACGCAATACGCGGGCAGACGCGAGCGAGCGCACGCAATCGCGCGCGTCTGAAAAAGTGGCAGCGACCAAGCGGACCGATAATTAAGACGTCCGCCTGCCTCTCTCTCTCTCTTTCTCTCTCTCTTCCTCTCGGTAGCATCGCGATTATTATTTCCCTCGCGTTTAAATGTCATCGGCTGACTCGCGCGAACAGCGACGATATCTCATCCTTTCGCACCGCTCTCGATCTCCTTCTTCTTCCCTCAGCGTTGTCCTTTATTCTCCCTTACACGCGTTATTTTTCTTCCGCGTCCTCTCGCACCTGCGCTCGCTTCTGTTCTCGTTATCGTTCGCTCGCCCCCTCCCGAAAAAAGAAGCCCTGATCTCGTCGAGGTTCTACCTCGATGTATCACGCGAAACGGCCGAAAAACGACGAGCTTGGGCGCGCGCGCGATTCCTCGTTTCAATGGGAGCCGCTTTAGCCGCTACATCACTCAGACGGGAAGTAGAACACTAATTAAGTAATACCTCGATCGCGAGGTAATATCCGCTATTTCGCGATAATACTTCGACCTTGCGCGCCGAGAGATGCCCCGGCGGCCCTCGTCCGCGAGCTTGCATGCGGGTACAGGATTAATAGCATTATTTCTACGGAATTTGGATAATTACTGGATGTCTACTTCGTGATCTAAATTACACTCGAGTCCCAGCGGAGGTTTGAATTTCGAGATAACGATTGCTCGTTCGCGCCGGCCGGCTAGCCGCCTCTTGCACCGTTCCGCGATCGATGCATTCTATTTTCATCGGGTTTTCTTCTGCCTTCGTCCAGCCGATAACGTCCTTTTCTTCTTCCGACTCCTTCATTCGCCCTCGAAAACTTTATCAGACTTTTGTTTTATCGGCGCCGTTCTTTTTACGTCGCATCCTCTCGTCCGTTATGCTTGCGCTCATCTACGCGGGAAGAGACTTTCTTGCGAGCCTCTCGCCTCCACCTTGTCTCCTTCTTCATCATTACGCGGGTACCACCTTTCCGTCCGTTCTCCGCGACTCCCTTGGTGCTTCTTCTTCCATTAAGAAATAATTTCTATCTGCTCCTTCGTCCTTTCTCACTCCCTCTGTCTCTTTCTTTCTTTCTTTATCTCTTTCTCTTTCTCCCTTTTTCTTAGCTCACCTACCCACCGTCTCATCCTCGACCTCGCCGATCTTGCCTTTATCCGCGCGCGTTTATTAAAGCCTCTTTGTGCGTCGACGTCGAGGATTTACCGAGACCGAATGACGCGCGAACATGCATCGCACTCGCGTTACCGCACCGACGTGAAATCACGCTAAAAAGCCCGCCAGCCGCGAGTACGGGCGAACCTTAGAATTAACCACCACCAGCACACCGACACACTCGGTAGCGTCGTAATTATTGTTATTATTTCCCCGCCCGTATACCTACGGACGCCGAGATTCTAACATACTTGCCGTACGCGCCGTGATTGCCTGTCTTAGGTAACGACTCATTACTCGGCCAGGGGTCGAATGCTGATCAGTACGAAGTGGACAGCCCTTGGCCTTTGCTTAGAATCCTTCCGTACTCTCCGTCGGCCTTTGCGTCTTCCATCTCCCTCTTTCTCTCTTTATCTCTCTCCGTCTTTTCGCATCTGGTAAGAGCGCGTCGATTAACGACGCAACGGATCTTCGATGTGCGAGACACTAAATTTTAATTAAGGAGTTAGACCTACCACCATGAGCATAGCTAAGAGGGGATAGGTGGCGCTTGTCCATTCATAATTCTTTGGCGGGAGGGGGAGCAAATTAAAGTTTCATAATTAAATTAAATTATGAAAACCATAAAAGTAAAGAAATGTAACTGATGCATTACAATTTACATTTTATAAAAAAACTGTAGTGCGTGTTCTGCAATTAAAAACTAATGACGAAGTATCAGCAAGGCTTTATGAAAATGAAAATTTCTCGAATTCACCACCAGACGTTCCTTCGCCCAACCGTGCACAACGAGTATCATTGAAAGGTTTTTCAGTACATTGCAAAGGGTGAAAACCTGGTTGCGGTCGACAATGTCAGAAAATTGCCTCAGTGAACTATGTATGCTAAGCGTACACAGAAAAATGGTGCTCGCGTAAAGAAAGAAGCTAGAAGAATAAGTATGAAGAAAGCTTACTCTGAAGATCCGTGAAGACTGGCTTTAATATAAGTATGCTAACAAGTTTTGTGAGAAAATAAATTTTTGCACTCTTCCCTCTGATTGAAATCCTACCTACTCCCTAGCTATGCTTACCGCTTAAATGGCGATGAGTCTTTTTACGGATGTCACGTAATAAAATCTTGAAAATTGATTATTTTTCCGATCTTCTTGGTTGGTATAATTTTTTAAGGGCATAATATACACACACATTTGCGGTAGATATAACATTGAAGCGATACGATGAAAATAATAATGTATTCTTCTGCCTTCATTAAGGAACATCAGTTATCGTTCTAATGAGCATTGTGGAATAGACGAACAGATGTTTCCCAAATTGCAGCAAATTGCATGTCGGTCGGCTCGATTCACGCCGTTTATATTCAAGCACGATGTGTCGCGACGCAACTTAATTAATATTTGTTAATTAAATCGAAATAGCGACTGCCTGCTACGCGTTTACCGCGAACTCCGCTTTACCCTCTCAATTCAATTTGTTGTAAATTACACGCGAATGCTTAACTATTCCATCTCTGCCTCAACAGAATAGCCCGTTCCCAGCGATGTCTTTTTCCATTTCGCATTACGCATTCTATGTATTATTATAACGATTGGCAAATTTTAGAGCGGTATAAGAAACCGACTATCACTACATAATCTGAAATCGAAAAATTCGGACGAAATGGGTATCTCGTATATGAGGAATTTTAAATTAATAAAAGGACTCGTAGTGAACGGAGAGAATATAAATGAAGAACCCTGGGGGCCGAGAAATCAAAGATCCACAGAAATGATATAAAGTACACTGCATGAATCTAAGGACAGTTCTTTAATCGTTAAAGAGTCTTGCTTTCAATTAATTCCATTTATAATTGAGGGCTCACGGGGCTAAGAATAATAACGCAATCGTTACGTCGTCGCGGTCGTGACAATCGTTAAGAGAATTCTTCGGGACGATAATAACTACCGACGGGCAGCGAATGTCGCTCGTTCTCAAATAACCTCGGCACACCGGAGCTAAACGTCACTGCGATCCGTGTCGTGCTGCGCTCGGGTGATTACTGTTATTACTATTCGCGAGTATGACCTTTTTATTAGGGCCGCGAACGATTCTGTTCTAGTCGAGGGGAGGAGGACCCGCCGTCATCGTTTCGCTGCCGATTGAAAGTCCCGGGTCTCGGACTGGGATTTAATTTGCGACCCCCTTAACCGCGACCGCGAATGAGACGCGCGCGGTGAGGTCTGAGAGAAAATGAATGCTGCGAATGCACCTGGCGGGTGATTGTACCACGTCGTCGTCGCACGAGAAAGTCGCGTCCACGTCGTACTCGTCGTCGTCGTCGAGTTTTACGTTAAAATAATAGCGTGCAAATTGCAGCTACGCTGTTACTTTCGGCGACTGCAATTTTAAAGGCAGACGCCGGCGACCACCAGCCGGCATTGAAGTTACAAAAAACTCACCTGCGACAGTCACGGTAACCACCTGGGAAATTTGCCGAGGACGAATCCGCGCGACGGTGTAAATATTCATGTAACTTTCGTAATACGGGAGTAAAATAGCGGGTCGTTGCAAAATTCACGCCGCTGTCGGATTCATGTCGCAGTGCCGAATTATTATATACGTTGTTACTATATTAAAATAGATGATATATGTCGCGCGAGTCACGAGCGGCGGAGAGAGGGGGGAGCGGGCACCGTATCAAATATTTTTTGGAAATATTCCCTCTCGCGCGACCGGGAAAACAGAATACGCAATGAACGTCAGAACTAATATCGATAATTAATAACCAATAAATACTAAAACGGAAGTAAGCTCTACCCGGCAAATAGCCGTGTTAGCAGTTGTTCATAATTCCATCGTGAATATTTAATTTTTCATCCCGCTCATGTCATCCGCGTTTCGTTAATATGAGCACTCTGGCATTACGATAAATATATTATACAAGCTTGTTAACTGCAATCAACGAGTGCGTGTCCCTCTAATTCCGCGCGAATCCACCGATTACCATCGATCTCTGATTTTTATTTTTCCCCCGGTGAATCGACGAGCCCGGCTTATGCCGCTAATTAAACTTTCGACAAAATGTCGAAGTGTCGACAATCGTCAAACTCTCGATAATTCCTCAAGGCTCGAATTATCTCGCGCGGGAACATCATTTAACTGTTTATCGTTCCCTTCGTCGAGCTTGGGAACTCGCTTCGTACGCTTGATCGCGCCCTAATCGATCTTCCTACAAGAGAAAAAAAATCTCTTCTTTCAGGTGGTCGTGGAGAGTTCGACGTTGGCGTTGGAATACGGCGATCTCGAGATCGACCCCGGCTCCCCGGTGAACCCGGATCTACTGTTCGATTCGCAGCTGATGCATCTCTATGTACTGACGGAAAAGAAGGTGTCGAAGGTCAAGGTGCAGGAGTGCTCGGTCTACAAGACCTGCTGGGATTGCCTGGGCGCGAAAGACCCGTATTGCGGCTGGTGCTCGTTGGAGAACAAATGCAACCTGCGCAGCGACTGTCAGGACGCGGCCAAGGACCCGCTCTATTGGATCTCCTACAAGAGCGGCCGGTGCACGACGATCACCACCGTCACCCCGGACCAACTGCAGCGCACCACCGCCAGGACTCTCGAGCTCGTGATCGAGAATCTGCCGACCCTCTCGGGCCAGTTCCTGTGCGCTTTCTCCGCCCTCGACAAGACCCTCATCACGAATGCCTCGAGGAAGTCTTACGGCGTCAACTGCACCACGCCGAGGACCGACTTGTTGCCGTCGATACCGCCAGGCCGGCATCACTTCACGGCGAAGTTGTCCGTCAGGATGACCAACGGGCCTGATCTGGTCGCGACGAACTTCACGTTCTTCGACTGTAACACGTACAGCTCGTGCACACAGTGCGTGTCGTCGAGCTTCCCGTGCGACTGGTGCGTCGACGGCCACCGGTGCACACACGACACGGCGGAGAATTGTCGGAACGATATCCTCGTTACGGGAGTCAGTGTAAGTCGATTAATTAAATTCGCCGGAGGCAAACAGATTATCGAGGGCGGAATTAATTGTCTAGATTTCTGAGTGCTTGCTATTATTCTTCAAAATTGCGTCTCGATTTTACGCGGGAGATTAACAACATCCGGATACTCCGCGAATTTACGAACACTTGACGATTCCGTTTATTTCGGAAACAGGGCGAGAGAGGGAACCCGAGTCGAGAAAATCCCGCTAAAATCGTATCCTGCTTTTATCCGCATTTCGCTGAATAATGTTTCAAACCTGGACTTATCGTTTTCACGGATAAGCGGTTTATATATGCCGCAGACTCCGCGCGCCTAGTTCCGAGCCAAAATTGCAATCCGGTTGTTAAATTACACGTTAATACGTATCAACCAAATCCATTTTCGACTCCAATTTGATTCGTTTTGAAGTTAAAGCCTTGGATCCGATCCGTGAATATTATCCGTGCACGATCATCAATTAACTAGTAATTTTTGACGAAAACTCGGCGCTCGGGATTTTTGCGCTTTTTAACGTTTGAAACACTCAGATTACATATACATGTATAAAGTATATCGGATAAATATATTAATAGCACAACAAATAAAACCAGAGTAAAGAAGCGGCGTGAAGTTAGGGAACTTCGAACAGTGTTTTAGCAGTGATAGTTGAACGCAAGTATCATCTCGCCTTTTTCACGAGCTTACATATGTTTTACAGAGAATGGGACCAAGCTATAGAAGTGGGCCAGGTTTTTGTCCCACTATAAACGCTACCGACTCTCAAGAGATCCTCGTGTCTTCCGGTATTAAAAAGGCGATACGGGTTAAAGTGCATATCATTGGGGTACGTCGAAAATCATTACATCGCTAATTATCGAACGTTCTATCCGTTCGCTGTCCTTTTGTGCTCTTTTCAGACTATCGATGTGCCGCTTTAATTATGCTATTTCAGTAGATTGTTTCAACTGACAAGCAATCAAGTTTCACGCGACATAACTTTTACCAACCAATTGCCTTAATTGCACGATCGAATCGAACGATAAGAGAAATCGTTCGTTCAACGCGTGTTATTTTCTCTACGACAAAAGTACGATTTTTCAGCAATTCATCATACAAACGCGCTTCGTGTGTCAATTCAACATCGAGGGTCGCGTGACGAGCGTGAACGCGCGCCTCTTGGCCGACACGATCTATTGTGACGACACCGAATTCTCCTACACGTCTCGCGCGCCAAACATCACGGTGCCCTTCGCCGTGATCTGGGGCGGCTCGAAACCCTTGGATAATCCGGACAACATACACCTGGTGATATACAGATGCCGCGACATGGCGGACAACTGCGGTATGTGTTTGGCGCTGCCGACGAAGTACGGCTGCGGCTGGTGTCAGACCTCGGACAGATGCGAAGTGAGGGATCAGTGCGACCGCGGCGTGGGCATGTGGCTGAACAGCAATTCCACCTGCCCAAATCCGGAGATACACATATTCGAGCCGGTAATGGGGCCCTGGGAGGGTAACACGAACGTGACGATACGCGGCATCAATCTCGGCAAGACTTTCAAGGTAAGGAAGACCCCTTTCCCTCGACGACGCGTCGTCGCGCCAAGATGTCTCGATCAAAAGAGAGAGATCGTGGCGTTTCTTCTCCGAAATCTCTTGAAATAGTGCTTCGCCTTGCGATACGACTGAAGATACCAATCGTTGTGCGATACGCAGGACATAGCCGGAGGCGTGACCGTGGCCGGGATGCGGTGTCTACCGTACGAGGAGCTCTACATACGAACGAAGCAGATCGTCTGCCGGGTCGACGGTCCGGGCACGCAGGAGGGCCGGAGCGGCCCCGTGATCGTCAAGATCGAGGATTTCCGCGGGGAGTCCGAATACAACTTCGAGTTCGTGGATCCGCAGATCCTCTCGATATCGCCGAAGTACGGGCCGCTGAGCGGCGGCACCACCATCAAGATCACCGGCAACTACATGAACGCCGGCAGCACCATCCACGCCGACATCGACGACCTGCCCTGCTCGATAATAAGCGCCGAGTCTAACGAGGCGCTGTGCATGACCAGCCCGAGCGATCGCAAGCGGAGCGGCATGCTGAAGATGTCCTTCGACGGCGGCAAGCGTCTCTACGACGGTTTCTTCGAGTACGTGGACGATCCGACGATAGAGAGCGTGGAGAGCGGCGTGGCCGGTCAGATGAAGGTGCCGAAGGGCATACCGGCGGGCGGGATTAAGATCTCGGTCACCGGGAAGAACCTCGGCTACATACAGAGCCCGCAGATGTACGTCTACTTCGACGAGAAGATGTTCGTGTCGCAGTGCGAGGTGCACAGCCAGGAGAGCATGGTGTGCAAGTCGCCGACGATCGAGGTGCCGGAACACGTGATGCTGGACGCCGAGCGGCCGCTCTCCCTGGAGTACGGCTTCCGCATGGACAACGTCACCGGCGTGCGGAATCTCTCCCAGCACGGCTTCAATCATTTCCTCCTCTATCCGAACCCGATCTACGAGGTCTTCGACGAGGAGATCAAGTACTACAAGAGCGACTATCTGACGATCAACGGCCAGCACCTCGACCGCGCCTGCCAGGAGTCCGACGTGGTCGTGCAGATCGGCAACGCTTTTTGCAACGTCACGTCCTTGTCGCGGCAGCAGCTCACCTGTCGGCCGCCTTTGACCCAGCCGCCGGCGCTCGACTCGCAGGGTCTGCCGAACAAGCAGGAACTGCCGGAGGTGATACTGATCGTCGGCGGTACTCTGCGTTACAACATCGGCAAGCTCAGCTACGCGTTGCCGGCCGGACTCAACGGCCCGTTGTCGAAGCCCGCGCTCATCGGCGTGATCGCCACCATCGTGATACTGATCTTCGTATTCATAGCGTTCCTCATCGCCTACCGTAGGAAGTCCACCGAGAGCAACAGGGTGCTGAAGAACATGCAGGAACAGATGGACATCTTGGAGCTGCGGGTCGCCGCTGAGTGCAAAGAGGCCTTCGCCGAGCTGCAGACGGAGATGACGGATCTCACGGGCGACCTGACCAGCGGTGGCATACCGTTCCTCGATTATCGCACTTACGCGATGATGATATTATTCCCCAGTGACGACAACAGCCCGGTGTTGCAGTGGGACAGGCCGGAATTGGTGCGGAAGGAGAAAGGGCTGCGTCTGTTCGGCCAACTGATTATGAACAAGACTTTCCTGCTGCTGTTCGTGCGCACGCTCGAGAGCAATCGTTACTTCTCCATGAGAGACCGCGTGAACGTCGCCAGTCTCATCATGGTCACGCTTCAGAGCAAGATGGAGTATTGCACGGACATTCTGAAGACCCTGCTGGCGGACCTCATCGAGAAGTGCACCGAGGGCAAGAGCCACCCGAAGTTATTCCTGAGACGGTAAGCGCGCATCGACAACTTAACGATAATAGAGCTACCCGCGTCCTTGTAACTTTTAACGAATCAAATGTGTCACAAGACAGCTGTGAGAATAACTCCTTTCTCCTTCCAGAACTGAAAGTGTCGCTGAGAAGATGCTGTCTGCCTGGTTCACGTTTCTTTTGTACAAGTTCATGAGAGAATGCGCTGGTGAACCGCTGTACGTGTTGTTTCGCGCGGTGAAACAGCAGGTCGACAAGGGTCCCGTAGATGCGATTACATCGGAGGCACGGTACTCTTTGTCGGAAGAAAAGTTGATCAGGCAGTCTATCGATTTCAAGCCTATGGTGAGAAAAGGCGTGGATACTTTAACGAGAGCGTGACTCGACGTGATGATAACGTTTCTTGGAAATTTCAGACGGTCTATGTCTCGATATCGCAGCAAACCGTATTCGTCGGCGGGATGGATCCGAATACGGAAAACGTGCCGGTCAAGGTCCTCGATTGTGACACGATATCTCAGGTGAAGGAGAAAGCGTTGGACACGATTTACAGAGCGACTCCTTACAGCCAAAGACCGCGAAAGGACGACCTCGATCTCGGTGAGAGAAACTCTTCACGCGTGAACACTTGTCACATTTCAATCGAGTCGAATTTCTCCAATACCCGACGAAATGTTGCAGAATGGCGAACTGGCGCATCCGGCAGATTAATTCTCTACGACGAAGACTCGACAACGAAGACAGAGGGCGAATGGAAAAAGAGGAACACTTTGAATCATTACAGGGTACCAGACGCAGCGTCGCTCAACTTAGTCTCCAAACAATCTTCTATATATAATCTCTCGATCCTGTCGGAGAAGACAGACAAATCGCACAAGTACGAGACGTTAAATCTCAGTAAGTTTAGCTCGGCCAGTCCTCCGCTCTCCCGTGCCACCTCGCCGCTCAATCAGAACCACGACGGTGGTATGAAGGTCTGGCACCTGGTGAAGCATCACGACTCGGATGCGCGGAAGGAAGGTGACCGCGGCAACAAGATGGTCTCCGAGATTTACCTGACGAGGCTACTGGCGACGAAGGGTACGCTCCAGAAATTCGTCGACGATCTATTCGAGACCATATTCAGCACTGCCCACCGCGGCTCGGCGCTTCCTCTCGCTATCAAATACATGTTTGACTTCATGGACGATCAAGCGCTGCAACACGGCATATCCGATCCCGAGGTGGTACACACGTGGAAGAGCAATTCCCTCCCGCTCAGGTTTTGGGTCAATCTCATAAAAAATCCGAATTTCATCTTCGACATACACAAGTCCAACATCGTGGACTCGTGTCTGTCCGTCGTGGCGCAGACGTTCATGGACAGCTGCTCAACGTCGGACCATAGATTAGGTATGTAACTTGCGTTATCATTTCGTTGCGACTCTGCTGATGAATGTGAGTCGGTGATGCATAAAAGAAGTGTGCTTTGCGTTTGTCGATGATGCACTTCTCTTTCGCTGTTCGCAGGTAAGGACTCTCCGAGTTCGAAACTGTTATACGCGAAGGACATTCCAGTGTACAAAGAGTGGGTAGAGCGTTACTACTCAGATATCAAAGTCATGCCAGCCATATCCGATCAAGACATGAATGCCATGCTTGCCGAAGAATCGAGGGTATTTATCCGTTTCTGTATTCCTCATAGATACACAGACTTAAGGAGGTTGTGTAAAGCGAAATAAGTTTGCTAAGAACTTGATGAAATGTAGACTGAAATGTTATCTAACTGCTTGTGCAATTTGAGAAAATTCATTGTTCGAAAGCTAAGATAATTTTGTCTGAAGTTGACACACTAAATTAATGAGTGGGTCTTCTTGATGCGCCGTTGAAAATACAACATTGAGCTTCGCACAACCTCTTTAAGACGCGGCCTGCGCCTCGGTATAATTTCTGACTAATACGCACGTGTTCGTTCGATCTCTCTTTTTCTTTCAGTTGCACACAACGGAGTTTAACACGAACTGTGCTTTATACGAACTATATACGTACGCGGGTAAATACAACGAACAACTGATAGTCACTCTCGAGGAGGACGAGTTCTCGCAGAAGCAGAGACTGGCGTACAAACTCGAGCAAGTGCACAATATAATGGCGGCGGACAACCCCTGATGTACCATGAATTCCATGAAGCACCCGACGAAGCCCGCTCGTCAAGAGTTACCTTGCTGAGCGGTCGATCGCGTTTCGGTATTCTCGAATGGCGCGAACCGAAGGGAACTGACTGGCCTATCTTGTAATCGATTGTCTCAGGTTCCGTGCAAACAAGCCAGTTTTTTCGCCAACTTGACGCGATTCGCGCGAGTGAACTCTCGGGAGGACCCGCAAGGTGGGTGCACGCCGCGAGTTAACTAGGAAGTTAATTAAAGGACTAAGTGTTAAAAAGAAAAACGGAAAAAAAGATATGTGTCGAGGAAGTCTTCTCAGAGGTCGCCGGTTCGTAAGGTGTGGCCATAATCATAAGCACATGCCGCGCGCATATTGTACATAAGATATCAAAAAAAAAAAAATCATGAGTAATTGTAATAGGATATTAAATGTACGATCACATCTCTCCGGCGTCCGAGTCGTGCAAGAAGAGAGCAGCGGGGCCGCGACGTTTCCCTTCCCTTCCCTCCCAACCCTCCCTCACACCAACCCTCGCTGCGCTGCGGCGTGATCGCACGTTTTGCATAAATCGCGAGTGATTTTAAGATGAATGTAATAATGGAGCACTAGTGATAAGGCGAGTGAGGGAATCATCAAGCCGGATTGATCGATATTTGTAAATGTGTTTAAAAAACGGTCGATTGCCGGCGCTCGGGAAGTTCGGCGATCGGCGATTTTTAACGAAGAAACATTTCCATCCACCGCTACTAGCTGAAATTTTTTGAATTACGAACTGACGAATTTTAAGAGATTAACGATAATTACGGATAACAGTGAGTAATTAAACGATTATATATATATATATA